TTTAACATTGTAGCCTGAAATTACAGAAAGAAAATAGGATTTCCGGTTTGCAAAAAGGAAAATTTCGCCGGCCTTCAAGCGCACCGGAAGCGCGGAAAGAGCGCTCGTGCCAGTCCTACTCCGCATCACACATTAAATGAAGAGCGGAGCGCTCGTTTCACCGCCCAACCTTTATCCGCCCTGCTACCCAGGGTCTGTAGGATCGTGGGAGTGCATTACGTCACGAACTCTGACTCACTAGACGCCAAACGCTCGAGCCTTTTCAAGAGTATTAAAATGGGGACAACAACAAGTATTTGCCCTGTAATTTGTTTCGTTTTCTTTTCCATTTTTAACGGCATCTCTTCCAAAGAAGAGAAACGAGCGAACAAAGACACCGTGATCATGGTCTCCCTAGATGGCATGGGATGGCAGTTCATAAGTGGACAGTTTGCCGGTACTCCAAACTTAGATGCAGTGGGTAGGAACGGAGTTCGAGCTAAGCATACTTTCAATGTTGTCCCAACAAAAACTTGGCCCACTCACCACTCCTACCTAACAGGTCTTTACCCAGAAAGCCACGGTATTGTGTCCAACAAGTTCTGGGATCCACTTTACCAAGAGATGTACATTTACGATTACGACTGTTCGTCGAAGGATCCCAAGTTCTATAAGGCTGCCGAACCGATCTGGCTGACGCTACAGAAACAAGGAGGAAAGAGCGGGTTATATTTCTGGCCCGGAGACGAAGGTTACACCGAAAAACCCACGTATTATGAGAAACCCTTTTGCCTTGTGAATTGTAGTGCAATTGATTCGAAGGATCTGCCTAAATAAACACGCCCCACATGGCCGAGTTACATCCACTGTTTTCCTAATTACACTGAGCCATTCAAAAGCCGGTTGGATAAGGTAATTAACTGGTTCAAATCTAAGGAACCACCCAAGTTTGTAGGGGTGTATATTGATCATCCAGACTGGGAGGGTCATGATTACGGCTCTCATTCCAAACAGTATAAGGAAGCCATTGAGAAGGTTGATCGAGAGGTCGTTGGTTATCTGACTAAGCGCTTGCGTGATGTTAACCTCATTGATAACGTCAATTTAATCTTTGTCAGCGATAACAGCTTTAATAACATTTCTTCGGCCCGTCAAATATTTTTTGATGATTATCTCGACCGATCCGCGTACATGATGACAGAATCAACAGCTCTGGGACATATCTGGCCAAAAGATGAGAAGCTGGAGGAAATATTTGAAAATCTCACAAAGGTAAAGAACCCACACATGAAAATTTACAAGAAACAAGACATCCCCGAATCATTCCACTGGAAACACAATCGCAGAATACCCCCCACACTCATTGATCCCGAGTTGGGTTGGTCTGTCACACAATCCCGCGGGAACCCAAACACATCGTGGGTTTACGGGACACATGATTGGCCACCGCGGGAAAGTCAAAGCTATCCGATCTTTTTCGCACTAGGTCCTGCTTTTAAGAAGGGTTTCGAAGTTCAGCCGTCTAATATAGTTGATTTATATCCTTTGATGTGCCATCTGCTTGGAATTCAACCACAACCAAATAACGGTTCATTTGAAAATGTTCGAGTTATGCTGCGAGAGAGTCCAGGCGAAACTCCGACTTCTGGACTAGAGAGAATATACGCAAGGGCGTGGTTTGCTCTAATGATCCCGTTTATTTGCACACTGATTCATCTGTTAAAAAACATCTATTAATCTAACAACGCGCTTTATCTACAAGAGGCAGGCGTGAAATCTAACACAGGTGACCCGAGCTCCGCAAATGATCTAACAGACGTTTTACGTTTG